TTTCGTCCATGTTTTCCATAAAATATATTTGAAGTTATAAAGGCAGTCAAAACTAATGATAAAAAGGCATACCGCTTAAGTAGTCAGTTTTTACAATAGATACGTTTTGCTAGGAGTCGGAACGAAGCTCGTTAAAAATTACAATAGATACGTTTTGCTAGGAGTCGGAACGAAGCTCGTTAAAAAGCCGGTTACAATAGATACGTTTTGCTAGGAGTCGAAACGAAGCTCGTTAAAAAGCCGGCTTCCAAATAGATACGTTTTGCTAGGAGTCGGAACGAAGCTCGTTAAAAAGCCGGCATTTTATCCTTACCGAAATGACTTCAGAATTTCACGATAATCAGTATCACAACTGGAGTCAATTCCGATTAGCGAAAGAGTATTGGTCTTTCGCATATGTCGAAAGACTGTACATATAGTACGCCAAAAGCAATAGTATATTACCAGAAAGCTACATTCTTAAGGAAAAGGGAAAATTTCAAGAACGCAGACACCCCCGTCCAATAAGTACACGCGGTTTGAACAATAAAAGAAGGATTGAAGTTACAACCATCTGCATAAAAGCAGCAATTTATAGGCAGCATAATGCGAGAAACTATAACTTTACACTATTTAAAGTCTAAAGATATTTCAAGAAATGGTACCAAACACACAATTCGCTACATAATTATCGGGCTAATGACACTTTCTGTCTTACGTTCCCAAAAAAGATTTGATTACGGTAGCCTGCTGCGGAACTTTTCAAACTTGAAACGAAATATGTTCAGTGACTAGTCTGTAACCACGAGCTATAATTGGGTGTTTTTCATACACGTGAATCCTTTGCTATTTACGCGGGCCCGAACACTTACCTCGTAAGTGCAACGACTAGAACCTGCTGACAATAAAATAAAGTGCTGTTACTCGACTTGAAAAACCTGACTTCCACGAAATGCATCGACATTTTCAAAAACCAATGCTTATGTCCACAGCAAAGTACATTGAAAAAGAATTATCGGCTAATCCAATTCTTTTGAAATTTCCCTTATATTTTAAAATCTTTGCAGATAGTCGCCCTTTGCGCTGGTCCCGGCGCCGTGATTTTCGGTGTCTCAAATCCGCCTGTTTCACCGGAAAACGAACCAACGGACAAAATTGTCAGCCAGCGTGTTCTCTTTGCACCATCCTCGGTATGTCACCGGCTCCGCAGTAAATGTTTACTACTAAAGATATTGATAGTAGGCATTTTAAGTACGGTATGTTGTGTCTCTCGATCCAGGAGTTCCACTCGGCTTCCAAGCTCGCCAGCAAATCCATCATCCTGGACGTCGAGGGCCAGCCAAGGTCGGAGACGATGGACGCCGACGAGGAGGCTATGCAACATGCGTTGGAGAAGGTGCCTGCTCAGCGTAAAATGAGTGCCACTGATCCCCCGCTTGTGACTGTACCCATCACTAATCTGATGCCCGGAACAAATTACACCTTCGAGTGGTCTTCGGCCAATCAATTCAGTCTGACAACCACTTCGCAATTCACGACCAGTACTGCGCCCCTGGCGCCACCCCTGAAGCCGACAGTAAGCTTCGCTGATATCGTTTTCCTTGGTAATTTTCTTGGTAAAGATAGCTTTTCGAAACCATTCATGTTTACTGTGCATAACTAACTACTTATTTCATTGTTGTAAGCATGTTTTGTGTGTGTTTGTATTTCCTAGAGACTCCCATTGTGGTACTCACCAATAAATGCGTTTGTTAGGCTTCAACTACTGTCATGTGCGCGTTCGTCACACATGCGCGCTTGCACTTTTATTTCTCCTGTGACAGTTTTATGTTCATCCGCGCAGGCCAGTGTGTGCCGGGTTTCCCCTTGCTTGCTAGCTTGTTCTGAATTTTTATTGATATATATTAGTTTTTATAACAGTTCTATCTACCATTTTCCATTTTTATGCTTCAGTTATGCATGTTATACCCACAATCGTAAATTCCCTATTACCACCAGTCCGTTTTACAGAATTCTGGGGTTCTGGGTGAATTTAGTTCAACCTCACCAGTGGTTACTTAATCAGTATGTTTGACTAGTCTTCAGAATATGCATATACATAAGCGAGAGGAGTTCTGTTAAGTCACTGTTCGGTTAGGAAAATTTCTTCAGGCGAAATTGGTGGCTACAAACTTAAGGCCCTGAGACAAAGTTAAATACTTTTGAAAGGTCGGTGAGTACCCATTCAACGTGACTTAAAGTTCTCAAGCATTCAAGACAGGAAGTTAACCAGTGATCCAATGACAAAGAGGTCGACTTTTCTGCTTCCGTTATTGTGTAAAGATGACTACCAATGGCTACAAATTCAAATATAGACAATCAGTCTACCCCGTTTTAGACGTATCTTTCGAAAATGATGACTAGAAAAACTTGTTGATTTCGGCGACAGCGGGCAGTGTCAGGTTTTATCCATTTATTTGTACTAAACGCTTTACTAATAAAGGTTATGGTCGTTAAAATTGTGAAACGTATTAGTTCGGCTCTCTGTGTGAAGATAATCCTTAATCTTCCAGAAAAAAAGGAGATTAGAACTGTCATTTTTGTCTTGCTAGTTGTGGGTTAATGGGGTTGTCTCGTTTGTATGTAAAACTTTTCACTAATTACCTCTTTCTGTAGAGAATTTAGAGGGAGGGAAAGAAGGAACATCTTATGTTATTCTGTGTTAAAACTTGAACAGCCCAGGCAATGCTTTATTTAAATCGGCCTGTGAGGAGCCCCTCATCAGGCTATTCCTCTGTTAGCTTTTACAAAAGCATACATGTGTTGTTCAGTGAAACCAGTGGGATGTTGTTTTTTCCGGGCTCTAACTCGTTCTGCAGTAGTTGTTTTCTGATTCCTTTAATGTATATTCGATATAACATAGCGTTCAACTTATGTATCCAGAGATCTGTAAAGGCTTAGTCATTAAAAGTACGCAAGGCTTCTACTGAGTGGCATTTAACATTGGGGAACCAAATGCCAACCCTCCTAACCACTATGCGATTTCGTGCTCAGACCGATATCTCTGTGAAACTCAGGGAAGACGTGGTATTTTAAGATTCTTAGCGCCAGAATGTAGTTTCTACTTTTGACATTCTCAGCAGGAAACAAAGCTGACCTGTATCTGCTACTCTTTTCTGCTGATATCTCTGACGAAGAGTCCGCTACGGATGTCGAAACGTCAGGCGAATCTAAGTCTTGTCCCAGCGATTGCCCCTTTTTATTCACAGTTAAATATCTCAGCACGAGAAAAATGCCGCTAATTCTGCACAAAACTTTGTAAACACCTTTGAAAAAATTGCTTGGAAGGCGCTGGCCAAAATTCAAACAATAAAATTAATTAATATTCCGATACCAATATCAGATTATGCGACTGCAAGTATGACCAGTTAGATACGACTTTGTTTACTTCGATCTAATTACTCCTCCCAAATTGAACGAAGAATTGCGTACCAGGTTGTGCTGAAGCCTGTCGGTGACAGGAGATATGATGAAATTTAGTGGGTTGTGCATCGAACTGATAACGGTATACAATATGAGGAAATAAAAGGACTTACGTGAAGTCTTCGTCTTTCAGTGCATTACTTTGCAGCGAATCACGAAAACGATGAAATGAAAGTATAGAACAAGACACAGCAAGCGGGCATCAGCGGACATAATATCCTGTATCAGTGACATAGGTTTCGCCAGTTTACGAAAGCAAAGTTGTGTTACGTGAAGGGGCATTAGGACAAAGAAGTGTAGGCTAGAACTGTGATTTATGGCTTATAAGACGGCTTTAGGCACCCTTACCTAACCACACTTTTATATTATCTTATTAGAAGAGGTATCCAAATAAAGAAACTCTTTAGAAATTTGAAATACAAGGTTACATGCACTAAACTCTCAACCAGCACAGGATAGAGAGGTAATGAGAGTAGACAAATAGGCTGAATTGATGCCTCCCTCAAAAGTACAAAATAATTTTCTGCTGACCATGCTAACACATAGTCTGGGCCCTAGTTGTAAAGGTAAGGTTTAATATTATTTATTGACGGACTGAAAGACAACCAATCGGAAGTCAGTTATCTTTACGCATCATTTTTTTCATCTGCTTTCTGTTCAGCACTACATCTTTCTGATGCCTACCTCACATCACCTTCGCGTGGCTGTCTTCCTGGATGATCCCTGCCCCTATGAGAATGGGGGCCGCGCAGAACTGGGAAACATACTGATTCGCTATCGCAGGGCCGCGCGCAGGAATCGCGACAAACCCAACAGCCCCTTCATCGGCTATGGCAACTGGTCAGAGTCACAGGTCTGTATTAAGAACCGACCCAAGAACGTGGATCCCCTCTCAGAGGTTGATGTGGCCATCGGGTCGGATGTGAGCCGTGTCCTCTGGTCTGGTGATGAGGCCATTCAATGTGAACTCAGGGTTGAAAACACGGCCGTGGAATATGAGGTGAAATGGCTCTCTGTGTTTTGACCATTACTAGCTACTTTGAAAATAAGTTACATTGGACGGCTTCGTTACCCGTAATTTGACCATAATTATAGAGCAATAATGCTTTTTCTGACGGCATATGCCAACACGTTTTTGTCGTTTAAGTTCACCAGTGATGCTCATATAAGCTATTCAGAAGTCAAGTCAGGCAAACGAACGTTTTCGATTATTCATCCTAAGACAAGTATAATAGGATAAGGGAGAATAGAGTTTAAAAACGTTTAAGCAACCAATCAGTAATAATTAGGGAGACAGGGGAGAATTGTTAAGCGATCAAAGGGTCAGATGCTAGTCATAATTTGGGACCAAAGAAGGGGCTCCGACAATTAGTTCCTGAAGTCCCCTCGTTCCTGTCTCGCGCCTTGTTAAGAGGTTTTAGGACGGCATGGGCAGCGTGGGGATACACGCGGTCGCTGTCTCGTGTCCGTCTCGCGGCGTGGTAGAAAGTGTGTGGACGCATGTTGATTTGGTCTTCGGCCGCGAGAGCCTTAGTGCTTGTATAAACGTCTTATAGGCGCATAAAGTAGGCTCAGTTAGTCGTATGGCGACCGCCTCTGTCATTAAAATTATCCGCTGACGCAGGAACTTGGAATGTTTTTCCCCTAATTATTACTCATTGGTTGTTCAAACTTTTGTCAACTCTACCCCCCCCCTTATATCATTGCAACAGCTTGATGATGTATAATGAAAGCGTTCGTTCGCCTAACTTTGCTTCTTGTGTTTGTTTATCGCTTGAATATTTACCCAATGGCAGATATGAGGGACGACAGAAACTGTGGGTAGATGCCTTCACGCAGCCAAGCCTAACTCTGACTACCAGTTGGGACTGTAAACACAAACATGCGCTCCATTATGACACGGATAGTCCACACAATGTGTCTAGCCGATGGGTCATCCAACCAAAGTCTCTCAGTGCCTCATCCACTGTCATTGTCTGTTGCCGTAGATGGGAAATTTACTCAAGCAGTTGTTGGTTGCCTGTTTGTGGCTTTTGCCATCCATACGGAACTCCTTTTCTCGGGAAACCAATGGATTGATGTGCGCTCATACCTGTTTGGATAAATTCACGAACTGCAACGACCGAAAATGGCAGGTGGCGAGGCAGTGATGAACATTGGTTCGATTATGTATTTATGGTCCATCTGTTCGGTCCACTATATATACTATCTTGGCCGTACCCAAGCGCATTTTGGTAGTTCTAGTCCCATTCCTATTGATATTTAGCAAGACAATGGAGAAAAAATCCACGTCTATTCGGTAAAAATGTTTGGATGCTGTAATTAGGTTGGTCAAAATAATTTTGAGAGACTCTACGAAAAAAATCTTAATTGCTTTATGTATTGCTTGCGAAATGAAGTTTCCTTGCTTAACTGTGACTTTTGCTATTGCATAGTTCAGTTTTAATAAGCAAGTTTTCGGTCTTGGGTTCGGGTCAGTCCTTTGTTGCCTTAAGCAAGACAGTCCAACTGCCTCTGTATTGGAACTTATAATTTTGGAATACGCTATTGAGTTGCTTGTAATGAAATGTACCTGTTCCCTTGTACCTATTGTTGATTTTGGGCTATTGTTTGACAGTTCATTTGAGGATTGGCTGTCGTATGCTGAACTCAAAGGAAGTGTTACGGACGAGCAAAATTTGGAGGGATGACGGCGGCGGTAATGAAAGGAACGTCTGATCTCTTCAATGACACGCAGGCATACATGTCGCTTGATTAATCCCTATGTAAACTGTAGTTGGTCGACGTTAACAACTCGCTGAATAGCCCATGCAACGCTCACGCATCATTATCCCCGGTAATCAATATAGTCAGAATGGGAACGCAGATTTATGTATCGAAAACACATAAGAACCCGCTCATGTCGCGGACCTCTCGCAGTTGTGGTTTTTCTAATGACACTGAATATCGACGCAATGCGTAGCGTCTGGGCGTTTGGCTATAACCTCTTCTGCCAACAGGATACATCCTCTAGTATTTGCTGCATTCTTTACTGTGTGATTATTTTCTTCCGTTCATGTGCGTCTAGGAGTAAATCCAGATGGTTGTTTACAAAAAATTGTTCACTCCTTAATATTTAGGCTTCTTGTCGTTTGCTGTCAGTTCTTGAGTCTACGATTTCGTTTCATTCCGTTAGTACATTTTGGGGCATTTTGTTCCTGCTCTCGTTCATTTTAGTTTATGTATGATTTTATTAACTGCCTTGCCGTTTACTCTTTTTTAGGTCGCGGTTGCAACCACCAATCGCTTCGGCATGTCTCCCTGGTTGCCGGCTATTTATCGTCCCGAAGAAGCTGTCCGTTCGGCGTATCTGTACCGATCAGCGGCGTGCAGGATGCAGAACTTCAGGATTGTCTATGTCCTTTGCCTCCTCCTTCCCCTGTTTGAGCTCCTTTAAGTCTGTCGCACGCAGTTTTCCTTCTTGAATTACCCTTTCCCTGTGTCCTAACATTCAGCCTAGCGCCACGACGCCGTTCCCACTCACCTTCAACCTGAGAAGCTCAGCTCTCGGTGTATAAGGAAGAGTTTGATAAGTTTGGACTTGTTTTTTCGTTCAGTTTCTCCAACGTCTTAGACCACATTTGAAGCGCAATTAATTTCCGTAGTAAGGCTTTAGAAGAGAACCTGCATTCCCCGGGTAACTGACACCTACAGACGATGCCAGTGAGAGACCGTTGATCATCACCATTCTTCCTCGACGACGACTGTACAAGCTCTACTCGCCGTTCCGATGATTTTTCAATTTATATTTCTTAGTCCTAACTTCTTTACTCCATATTATTTCATAGATGATAATACCACCTAAGGAGACTCTTGTCTATTTATAGAGATGCATTTATGTCGTACGTTACTCATTATGCAATAAAACCATTACCTGCTTCATTGAATCATTCCACGAAATATTGTATCGTCTACCATAATTGCCTTTTTACCTAATTTCTTTGGTTCTTTCACTACTTATAACTAAGAGCTATTCGGTCGCATAGATTATATCATCACAACGTTTACAATGGTTCGGTATATGTTTTTAATAAGATGCTTACATACAGAAGGTACATACAGCAGGTATATAACTATATATACAGTTCTGCGAATCCTGCAAACAATTTCAGGACGAAATTTAACTTGGTAGTTTAGCGTTTATCTGGACAAGTTATCTTGATCAACTGAGTGGATTTACTAAATAAGAAGGGCTTTGGTTTGGAAAACTGCCCTCTTATTTAAAGTTATTGGGCCAAATAGGCTCTCATTTTTGCTAAATCATGAGTATGTTTCTATAAAAAGAATTCCGTATGCTATAAGGC